TTCCCTTAATTATTACACTTTAAAAATAAAGTAGGCATTCCCACCTTTAGATGTACAATACATTTTAGCACTAAATAATAAGACAAGATATTTGGAAATATATTATTCAAATACTTAGATGCATTTTAAGGACAGAAACATGGCTGATTATCATTCTAAGTATTTTATTCATATGTGAAAACAATCGTTAAATCTATAAAGCACTGTCAAAGTGAATACAATACTTTTTACTACTCTACATTTCATCTTACCTCTCCTATAGCAACACACACCAACTACATTGCACTGTGCGCTTTGTACACCTCCCAGTAATTCTGCTCCACATGAAGTAATTTGTATTTTTACTATCTGATTATTAAGGGCATTAAAACAAACATGGGAGACAATCTATTGTTGGAAATAACTCACTGTGTTATAAATACAGTGGTCTAATAAATTTCTTTGGTTGTTATGACTAGAAAAGAGGAAGGATTAAGTTAACCACCAGTAGCATTCTGAAGTGCTATATTCTTCTGCTCTTACGAGATCTTCCCCCATATTTTTTTTTAAATATTTTTGAGTACGCTGCCAAGCCTAGAAAGCAACTAGCTGAAGTGCAAAGGATTAGTCATAACTGCATAACTTCATTTTATTCAGAACTAGCTTTCAGTGTTCTATAAATAAAATTCCTTTACTTAGGTATCTGTAAATAATCTAGCTTCTCACTGAATTGAGAAAAGCCTAAAGGCACCTTTTACTGATGTCTCTATATCAGGAATCGGAGGCAGCTAATGTTGTTGTACTTAAAAACCCAGCAACTAGCTGAAGTAGTTTTGACACCAGACAGCTGGTGTCTGAAAATACTGCCATTATTCAAACAGGAGTTCTCCCTGTGTTCTCCCTGGGATTCAGCTCAAGAGCTTGTAGGACATTGCCATTTCCCTGGACAGCTTAGTAGCCTAACACATAGTTTAGTAAATTAACGTAATGAAAAATGAGTGTGGAGGGTAACTAATTCCTTGTGAATTTTTGTTTGGGGGAAAAAAAAAACACCACAAACCAAGAAAACTAAAAAAAAAAAAAAGACCCCACCACCAAATAAAACACATGAAGGAACTGGGTGTTTACCACCACGTTTCTCAAAGACCTTCTAATCGCTTTCTACTTACATACACATGCTCTTAACTCAAGGCCAAACCCAGCGTAGTTTTCATGCAGGTATTTGCAGGGAAAAGGAGAAACTGAATCCTCCCTGCATCAGCCATGCCACAGCCCCACAAGCACCTGAGAAGCAGCCTGGAAAATCGCTCTTCAGAATCTAGGAAGTTCCATGAAGTTTTTTGCCTGAGAAAAAACTTTCCAGCTCAAGTGCTTCTGCGAGACTGTTATGATTCCCACACAAATTCTACCACCAGGGCCAGAATGGGAAACGCTATTCTTGTTCTTTGTAAAAAAGGAAAAAGTGGTTTTGTTTAATAAAGAGAGAGTGTGACAGCAAGGGCATGCATCTGGAAAGAAGAAACGGTGCAGGGAATGCCTGGTGGCCTTGCTGGCCTCTGCAACAATTCTCCCTGCATAGAGCAATTCAGCCTGACAGAACTGTTCGGGGACATTTGTCCAGAGCAGCCTTACAGTACTGCAGAATCCCACACACAAGCCTTCTGTACTTAGCAGCAAACAGCTCTCCCCCACCCAGTGGTGCAATGGGCTACCTCCCATCTCCACGTTTCCCTCCAAATCCTGACAGGTTTGATAAACTGCTATCATCCTACACAGATTTTCAGAGGGAAGGGGTGCACCCTTTGTCACCCTATCCTGGAGGGTCCTGACTTACAGGAGATATAGATGAGATTGTTGCTGGAAGAACCTTCTACTTGTTTTGTTCTTTTGTTACTTTTGGTTTTGTTCTTTTGTTTTCTTTTTGTTACTTTTGTTCTTTTGTTACCTTTACTACCAGCCAGTGGGGAAGCCAGGCCTTCTCTCTCTCTCTCTCTCTCTCTCTCCCCCCGCAGAGTAAAAAGGAAAACACCACACACATACTTGGGACTTCGTTGAAAATTGTCAGACTATGAAGTTATGGAATGACTGTTCCTATCTTTCATCAACACTTTAAATAGAACCATGTCAGTCCTGGTATGGCATAAGATCCAACTGACATTTTATTGTTACTTCTTTTTATAAGTTATTGCTACTGTCTGAACAGTAACAAACCCTGTTGATTATAGAATTCTACTGATAGCAATTCAACCAGTGACTAAAATAGTTATCCCAAGTACTTGCAAAGGTAAAATACATAGGATGCTTCATTCAGAAAAATTGCTCCTCAGGATTAAATGCAACAATAATTCATCTAAAGTCACTATTCATGAAGTTTTGACATTACGCAAATACAATGCTCAACAATATTCATATTAATCTGAAAGAGGAGCTACCTATCAAGCCAAATCCAATGAACACCATCAAGTTAAAACTCATTTTAAACCAATACAACATTGCTTTCCTTATACTAGAAGCCTTAGATTTTAAAAGGCAAGTTATACTGGAATTCATTTTACTATGCAGTTATCTCCTGACATTTCTGACAAGCTAAATAAGGAACAAAACTATCAAAATAAACCTCCTGACATGGTAAAATAACTGCTACTTACTCTGGAATCCAAAGAGTAAAGAGCACAACACACCATAGTAACTCACACTTACTGTAAGGCAACTTTCCAATAAATTCTTTGAAATCTTTATCTCCCCCAAGGTTTGGGACCCAATCTGAGTTAGCAAAGGTTACAGAAGTGTTATAAATTCACAGTCAATGGAGTATCTTACCTGGTTTGCCACTACTGCATCTTGTGGGTCATCTGGTTCTGCAGCTGCCAACAATGCTTGCAGCGATAACAACACTGTTCTTAGAGTCATTGCTGCTGCCCTAAAATTAAAAATTTGAAAATTACTTTACCAAATCCCATGCCTGCACTCACCTTTGCTGCTGTGCTAGTATCATAGAAGATATAAGAGTACATGTACAGATTGTAAGTCTAAGAATCGTACTTTTAAACTGCCGCAGCTTACAGGTATTAGAATACCATTCAATATATATTATTTAAATAGGGTTTTAAATGTGGACTTTCTTATTAACAATGCTTTCTTAAGCTTTTGGAAAATACAGTCCTTGACCTACACATTTGACCATGCCCACTTAACAGAATTCATTTCATCTCAGGGGATGGGCGGGGGGGCAATTTGAAGTTTGTGTCGTCCTTCCTTACTACCAGTAACAGCACCTTGCATAAGGTCTAGGTACTGAACTGGTAGCCCATGCGTGCTCCCTCTGCTGGCACTCTTCATAGCGAAATAGCATATACAGAAATAGTGACCTATATTTTAAATATTTGTAACAGATAAGGAATTCTATACATTGGATATGTTTTCCATTGCATCAGCTTTAATGATATTTTTCAATAAAACTTACATAGTAAATTACTACTATAATAATAAAATGGTTTGGCGACTACAGAATGTGCAATTGAAAATATTATCTCAGGATCCTCTCATTTCAACCTGACGTGACTGTCGGAAGCAGGAAAACATTCTGTAATCACGATGATGCTGTAAAGTCAGTCTTTTGCCCCTGTGAAAGAACCCTGTTGAAGGTAGCATAGCTCTAGAGTCAGAACTTCTAAGGTTTTAAGTTCTCATCATTTATCTTGATCTCAAAGTATATTTAGAATAAGAGACTTCAATAATTTAGTAAGGGAAAACCAAGACTCAGAAAAGTAAAAGTATGAAATTGTTACACACTGTAAATCTAGAAAGTTGTAACACTTTAAATATACAGTTTCATTAGATTTTGATCATGAATACCATCTCTGATCTACCATTTCTGCTGGCACATGCTGGAAACCAAATAAGGACCCCACAGAATCTGTGGAAGTTCAGTATTTCAGCTGATTTGAAGAGTAGACTCTTAACTGCTGTGGTGAAGGCAAAGACAGATGTTCAAGCCAACACACAAACTGCTTACTCTGCTTAAGTACTAGTAGAAAGGTAAGTGGGGAAAACGTGGCATCTTAGATTTGAGCAAGATCGTTATGGCACATGAAATGCCAGAGGAAAGTTGCGAAACACAGGCATCCAATTTCTTACAGACAAACTGTTCCAATTTTCAATCAACAGAAAATAGTTTCTTCTTTTCAGAAGACTGAAAGTAAATGCAGAGAGTCTGTTAGAGTGGGCAGGGAAGAGCTTGACCTGATGGTCCGGATACAAAGGAAACAGTTTGCAAGTCTATTTCCAGTCTCAGATTTCAGAAATGTATGTATTTCCCAGTACCGAGGCTCTGTATTGCGGTACTCTAGCAGAGTATGCCGATGAACAGAGAGCAGATGCTGGTAAAATGTCAGAGGTGCATTCGTGACACCTGAATATTATATTCCTAGATGCTTACATTTACAGCTTTCCTGCTATGTCACTAACCATTCAAATATGTCATTCTTCCCTAATGGCTTCTAATTCTAGAAAATTTTTCCTTAGAAACTTCTTTTTATTTTAGCTTGATAATCATCACTGAGCTTTCACAGTGCAGTGTTCTACATCAAAACGCAAGTGAGAAACATCCCAAGTGACAGAGATTTTAATTAGCACATATTGTCTCATTCCAACTGCCACATCAGCTTGAAGTCCCTCAAGCTGAACTTTGCAGACTTAAATCTTCAGAAAACCCTCATGCTTTTAGATCTGAATTCTGACAAATCACAAAACCTTCACAACACATAATTCTTCTTTGCCAAACCTATTCCTTAGTAACTAAACATATTTTTTTTCCCCCCAGAATTTCAGATTATCTTCCAGTTAAATTTAGGTATTTCAGGTTCCAAGCTGAATGCTTCTTCCAAGCCAAAGAATGTTTCTTTAATTTATAAACAAAGCTGGGGATTAACTAGTACTATTATACTTAATCAGATAAAGAACACCTAGTTACTGAAACATATCTTCAGTTGCATGATGAGAGCCTAGCTAACATAGTAAACTCTAGAGTACAAAGCATCTTGTTTTTCCATACCTAAGTCACACACACACACACAAAACCTCAGTGAAAGAACACAGAAATATTTTTGCTTTACATGTACCTATGCTATTTTACTCTTATAATAAATTTCCTGTTCTTTGTGATCTCTACTGGTTTATATTGTCTTGAAAATTCATCTATTTAATGAAATTAAACTAATTAATGTATGTATTGATGACATAATTCACAGTGGTATCTGCTAGTTTTAAATGAATGTAATGCAATGTTTACTATTCCGACATTCGGGTGTCACAGCATGCTAAGTCTTTCAGACCTTACCTGCTTGAATGGATTTAACCATTTTTATTTTTATGCAGTGATTTTCAGGAACTACCACATCCACGACACACGCTATAAAACCTAAAGTCTTTTTTCCCAGTTAAGTAATTCTATTACACTATTTAGTGTAGTTTTAAAGATAGACTTAACGTGAAATATCTATCAACTGTAACTGATACTGTAGTTACTTTCACCAAATAAAAGCTGTTCTGCACTTTCCTTTACAGAAATCCTTCTACTTTAGAGACATCTGAAAATGCTGACGTTATTTAAAGTCGAGAAGACACTAAAGGGGTCACGGCCACTTGTGCCACTTTTATATGCAATTTCCTTCCATTTACACTGTACCTTCTAGGAGTGGAAAATATACCTTGGGGAGCAGGGGGCATTCCTAAGAACCAAGGGACCAGAGGTGCCATGGACACCTAGAACACAAGCTCTCTGCTGGCTCCAGCTGTCTCTGGCTTTCAAGACTGCTGGGCCCTTTCAGTCCCTGTTCATCTGTTATGTTTGTAGATTTTTATATAAAACATACTGGGACTTGAACTTCTGTTCTGACATTCCAATTTCAAAATGAGTAATAAAAATAAATACCTCATCCATTTGGATATACAGATGGCTATACGCTTAGAGAACTCAAACGCTAAAATAATAAGTTTATAGACAAGACTAGTTTAGCTACATATGTAAAAAGGCTTAAAAACGTAGTTTACAACTTATTTTCAAGTCTCATGTCTCAAAATGGCTTTCACATCTCATGCATAATAAGACAAAGTCTTCATTGGACACAAATGTTTAAAGAAGTAGTATCCTTAAATCATAAAAGAAAACCTGTTACAGCTTCAGCTGCTGTTTGTATTTAAAAAAAGGAAATTAAAATTTGTGAATAATGGTAAAGAAAATCTGACGTATTTTGTCTATTGTACACTCATGTAACATTTTCTACCTTTAGGACACCAATTAGCTTTCCTGATCAAAGAAATTAAAAGAGTCTTGTTATTTTCTATGTAGCTTAGTCTTAATTTTTCAGACATAAATTAAGATTCCCAGATGAAACTGGAGGGACAGCTAAAAATAGATTCTCATTTCCCAAGCACCTTAAAAAGCTCTTCTTCCTTCCCATTACCTTCTTGTGGGAGAATAAAATGAACGGAGACAGCTGCCCAGAACTACATTTACAGACACTAGTAATGCAGGACCTGTTCCTCATCAGCGAAGAGCAAAAACAATTCTCATCATCAGTTCTGAAGGAAAATCTATGCTGATAGCAGCACAAAACTAAAAAACCCAACACACGCCTCCCCCCACACGACATCCCCACAAGCTAGAGAAAAATGTGCTGCAAAAAAAGGTTGTTTTTCCCTTAAAATGAACTTCCAGTGGAAACATACATGTGTCCTGCATTCTCCAGTGCTCCTCAAGGGTTTTTTTTTATTTTTCCCCACTCTTCTTATATTTGAAGTTTATTTCTAGGTGTGGATTTATGCGCAACATCTCACGGAGTTCAAGCAATTCCCTTTGGTAACTCAAGCTAGCCGCATGCTCAGGTTTTCAGTTTTTTTCTCTACTCCTTGCCAAAGGCAAGGTTTTGCATCACTCCTGACAGACTTCTGTCTAATCTGTTCTTAGCTGGAGCCTCACAAGTTTCTTGGAAAATCTATTTTAATGCTTCACCATGCTTGATGTTCTGCATGCTAAAATGGCTTTCCAGTCTTCCATTGTAGATCATACTTGCTTAAACTATCATTCTTGTTACTTTACTCTGGATTTTTCCTATGGTTCCTGTCTTTCTTGGAATACAACGCTCAAAGTGGGTACACTACTCCAATGGAAGCCTGACCAATCATAAATAAAAACCAGGCAGCTTATATCATGAGTTTTGCGGGTAAAACTCGCTACATCCCAGCATCCTATTCGCCTTGCACACGACATTACATTGCCTTTGTTCCATAAAATTACTGGCTCCTGTTTTCTCCTAAAGTCTACCCTTGACTCCCATTCCCATCCCAAAATGCTGCTTAGCCACTATGCCGGCTTGCAAGTTTGGCATCTACAAAATGGGAGGAAAGGCCAGTAACACCTAGCAGTGAGCTGCAGAGAGCTCACTGCAGAGCAGCACCGTCCCTCTAAGAATTTCATACTAAAAGCCTCCACTCCAGACATCCTAAACCAGGCTTTCTATTGGCATTGCAGTTGTTAAACAATACAGGAAACCTGGAGTGAATCAGAACAAAGCAAGCCGATATATATTTTACTTACTTTTTTTTAGGTAATATCTTGGGGCATTTCCATTAAAAAAAGAGCACCCCTGGTCTGGATGAATACAGAGATAATATTAAAAAGCATGGCAAGCCAGCTGTGCCCAGCATGCCTGAGGTAAGAAATCTCTTACCTTTCAATGAGCTGAAAGAGTCCTAAGAGGATTATGAAACACTGCCAGTTTTTCTTCTTTATTTTTAAAGGCGAAGTAATTTTCCATTTAGGAAGTTTTTACTTATGTTCTGTGCATTCCTCTCTGGAAACAATCTCTCTGCTTACTCCGAGAGGTAACCCAGCAGAACAACGGGAACAGCTGCAGCCAGCAGATTGCTGCTCCGCTCTGTCAACCAAACATGGCTGCTGGGAACATTTTTTAAAAATTTTTATTTTTAAAAATAATCTGCAATATTTATTCCGTTTGTGAAATAACTAAGCTTGTTAATCCAAGAGAAAAGCTCTGGGAACTTGTACCAAGGGCTTATGGAATCTGGAAGGAGGGAGGAAATGAATAAGGCCTTTGAGTGGAAGCCCGTTGTATAGTCACTATTTATGGGAGAAACACAAGACTGGGCACCCATTAGGGA